TCAGCCTTAAAAGGAAGGAAATTTTGACACCTGCTACAACATGGATGAACTTTGAAAGTGAAAGAAGGCAGTCACAAAAAGAGAAGTACTGTATGATTCCTCGAGTAGTCACACTCCTAGACACAGAAAGCAGATAGGTGGTTGCCAGGAGCAGGGGGCAGGAGGAAATGGGAGTTACTGTTCACTGGGTCCAAACTTGCAGTTTTGCAAGACGAGAAAATTCTGGAGATGGATTGTGCTGATGATGGTTACACAGCAATGGGAATGTACTTCATGCCACTGAACTGAACACTTAGAAATGGTTAAAATGTTAATTTTTAAAATGATGTATGTGGTTGTTCGCTAAGTCCCATCCAATTTTTTGCGACCCCATGGACTACAGCATACCAGGCTTCCCCATCCTTCATCAGACTCCTGGAGTTTGCTCAGATTCATGTCTATTGAGTCAGTAAAGCCATCCAACCATCTCATCTCATCCCTTCTCCTCCTGCCCTCCGTCTTTCCCAGCATCAGGGTCTTTTCCAATGAGTTGGCTCTTTGTATCAGGTGGCCAAAGTATTGGAGCTTCAGCATGAGTCCTTCCAGTGACTATTCAGGGTTAATTTCCTTTAGAACTGACTGGTTTGATATCCTTGTAGTCCAAGGGACTCTCAAGAGTCTTCTCTAGAACCACAATTCAAAAGAATCAATTCTTCAGCACTCAGCCTTCTTTATGGTTGAACTCTCACATCTGTATATGACTACTGAAAAAACCATAGCTTTGACTAGACGAACCTTTGTTGGCAAAGTGATGTTTATTTTACCACAATAGAAAGAGGAGGTGGCCAGGCCCGTGCACAGATAGAGGGAAATGTCTGGAGCATGTTTGTTGCCCTCTTTAGAGGTCAGAAAAGGTGAGCTGGGTAGGGCTGGCTAGGGCAGGGAGTGCGGCCCCCAGGGGGACCTGGAAAGACATCTCATTGGCCACCACATTCCTCCTACCAACCCGGAGCCCCACAGGCGTGCCCTGGGCTCCCCACCCCATTCCCCACTTGTTTCTGTCCTACTTCCGATGCTGGGAGAATCCCCCAGGTTCCACAACAGTGAGGCAGCCTCCCTGCTCTTTGGGGCACCCACACAGGGTCCCAGCCACCAGTAGGTCTGCAGAATATAGTGAGACTATCTCTCTCCCTACCATCCCACTGACCCTGTGAAAACCCTCTTTCCTGTCACCCTGGTGATTCCCCAGCTCAGAATCCCAGCTTCCTTTTTTCCTTGAATAGCATCTTCTTTTCTCACTCCAGCTTCAAAGTGTCTAAAGCAGACTTCCTGCCCATTCCTTCCTCAGAGACAACACACAGTGAGAAAAACAGCGAGCGAGACAATGGTCTTGGCTCTTCCAGGAATTCAATCATGAAAAATGTAAAAGAAGTCTAATGCAGGATTAATAGAAACAACCGTAAGCCATGCATGAACCTAAATTGGACCATGGCTCAATAGTCAATAGATAGATAGGAAGGAAGAAAGAGAGAAAGAGGGAAGACAGGAGAAGAAACTTAAAATACATTTCGGGACAATTGGAGAAATTTGAATATTAACTAAATGTCATAAGAGGTATAGGAATCATTAGTTTTACTAAGTGTGATAATAGTATCCTACTCATGTAAGACAATGTCTTTATACTGTGGAGGTACATGCTAAAGAATTCAGGGGCAAAGTATCAGGCAACCATTTTGAGATGGCTTGGCAAAAAGAAGAAAGATGAATCAAATAAGGAAAAATGCAGGAAAGCTCTTTGTTTCATCCCTTTGTTATTGTTTACTAATTTTTCAAAACAATAATGCAAAGAAACAAGCAAAAATTCTGCCCACTTTCTGGCTGAAATATCATCTCTCATTCCTACCTTCGTTGATTTCCAGACAAGAACAAAGGCTTCTTTCCCTCCCTAAGACCTGCAGCCTTCGAATCTCTGATAGGACTTGCATCTTCTTTCTACTACTGAACTGGGGCTCCTTAGGGCAAAAACTTTATTTCCCTACCTCCCCTCCTGCGCCACCTCCCCCTCCCTGTCCTCCATAGTGCCAGGCACACATCAGAGTTGAATAACAAACACCAGTGGTTCCTGTGTGTCAGGCACCATGAAAGTCCTTAGTCTTGTCAACTCCCCAGGAAGTGAGTGATTCAGTGAGGTGGCTATTAGCATCCCATTTTACAGATGGGAAAGCTGAGGCTCAGAGAGATTAAGACACTTGCCCAAGGTGATACCCTTCGTAAGTGGTTGAGTCATGTTTGTCTCAGGTCCCACCAACCTAAAAGCCTGGCTACTGTGTCTGAATTGAGTCTAAGCTCAGTTCTTAACACCCTGATGAGACAGGTGAGGTGACCATTCCCATTTTGTGGGAGCAAAACCTGGGCCAAAAGAGGACAGGGGACATTCCCAAGGGCTGGACAAAGAAAAGCAGTGCTATCTCTGTGTTTTAGTACCTGTTCCTTGCCAGACTCTGAACCAGTACCTTAAGGGCAAAAACTCAATTCCCTCTGCATTCCTCACAATGGGGGTGGGGGGAAAGGTGTAATCTGGAGTCAGGACCTCAGACTCCAGAGTCAGCTGGCTGGGGCACATCCAGGCTTCCCACTTCTGGGATGGTGATACTCAGAAAATTCCTTAACTTTGGCATGCCTCAATTTCCCCTTCCATAAAATGGACCATGATAATGGCATCTTGCTTACACCTGGGTTTGGTGTCATAATTTGCTGAATTAGTCACACAAAGCACTTAAAACACTGCCTATCTCAGACTAAGTGTGAAATCAGAGACGTAGGGTAGCCGTCTGAGATAACATGGAGATAGTGCTAGAACCAGGATCATCTGATCTCAAAGCCCTTGCTTTCTAAATCCTTCTTTGGAGCATGGTCTGGGGCCAAGAGAGCAAGGGTCTCTACTCCCAAATATTTGGCACAACCTGGTTCTTGTCCTTTAGGAAATGTGGGGTTTCCCTGGACTTGCCTCTCCCCTCACTCCTCTCCCCTTCCCCTCTTCCGTATTTCTTTCCCCCTTCTCCTCTTCCTGGGTTTTTCCAGTGGCTCAGTGGTAAAGAATCCACCTGCCAATGCAGGAGACATGGGTTCAGTCCCTGGGTCGGGAAGATCCCCTGGAGGAGGAAATGGCAACCCAGTCCAGAATTCTTGCCTGGGAAATCCCATGGGCAGATGAGCCCGGCGGGCTAGTCCATAGGGTCGCAAAGAGTCAGAGAGGACTTGGCTACTAAATAGCATCCTCCTGCTACTTGTCCCCTCCCCCGCCCTCCCCCCACTCCCTCTCTTCTTCCCCCTTCCTCCCACCCCCACCCCTTTCTCATCATGGGCAGAACAGAAAGAGCCTGGGACCTCTGTTTGTATCACTTTTGGCCCTCTTTGGGCCTCGATTTCCCCAGCTATACATTGAGGGATGTGAAGGTTACTACTTCATGTCTGCGTGGGCTGGGACAGATTCTCTGAGCCTGAGTGGACATTGACGAGTGCCAGGGATTCCCCTCCCTGTCAAGGAGGGTCCAGCCTTCTAGCTCCACGCCCCAGACAGCTTTACGGTAAGAGGGAAGTGCCCCAGGAGCTGTGACCCCTCTGCCCAGCAGCACCTAGACCAACTGGATCCATAGCCTGCAGCTGTAGCTCACAGACAGACTGGCTTTGCTCTGGCTGGCAGCCCAGAGTCGCCTCGATGGGAGTGGGTTCACGGTTAACTCCTGCCCCAGACTGACTGGGCTCCTGCTAGAGTCTCCTGGAGTCTTCCTGTGGGGAAGGCAGCCTCAAAAGCCAATGTGCAGTACCCATCCAAACCAGCAAACTCTGAGACCAGTTTGGTGGGAGCTGATGGCCATTTGTGCCTGTCACCGCCTCTGACAGAGAGAGAGACTGGGAAGTCGGAGCTGGGAAGCCCCCTCCTCAGTGATCAACCCAACTCCCTTCTTGAACAGATGGGAGAATGGAGGCCTCACGAGGGGCAGGGATCTTTCAGGGCTTGCTGCTGAGCTAAGGACCACCCGAGAGGCCCCGAGTTACCAGGGGTGATGCTGGTAGCCATGTGTTTCCCCTGGGCTCACAGCGGGCTAGTGGGTGATGGGAGGGAGGAGATGAGGAAAGTGCAAAAGAGGAAAGGAGAGGTGGTGGGGCCGGAGGTGGGGAGGCCGGGGCTCTTTGCCGTGTCCTGAACCGCCCACACCCTGGGCCTGCCTGCTCTTCTCTGTAGCGGGGGAGGTGGGTTCTCTCTGATGCTCTCTGTGGATGCTTGGCCCCTCTCAGGGCTTCACTTTCCCCATCTGCCCCTGTGAAGTGGGCTGGCTCTTTCTTTCCGCAGGCTTTTGCTGTATGGACCCCCTACTGTTTGCCAGGTTCCACGCTGACCTCAGGGAACACCTTGATGAACAAGGTCCCCCAGGTGCTGGGGCATTGAGAAGTAAGGGTTAGAGGTCCTTCCTGGCATCGGAGAGCTCCCTCCCAGACCAGGGGAGACTTTATTCAGACCCCAGATGGCGGGACCCCCCAAGTCCTCCTGGCTTGCCTGCCTGCCGCCGGCACTCTCCAGTCCTCTGTCCTTTTGTTTTCTGCCCACTTAGGAGCTAGGCCCCCAGCTCAGGCCCTAGGACATGTGCCAGCTCCCAGTAGGGAGGCGGCCTCAGCTGATGGGAGGAAAGGAAGCCCTTTGAACCCTAACAGGCCTGGTCCAGCCTCCCAGGCAGGTCCCCATATGCGGAGCCAGCCCGGTTCCCCCATCACGAGCCGCTCACCCAGAGCCAGGCTCGGTTCCTTGGCAACATCCTGAGGAATCCAGTTGCTGCACACGCTCCCTTCCTCTCCCCTCCCACCGCCTGCCTGCTGCCTGCGGGGGCTGGAGGCGGAGGCGGAGGCAGAGGAGCCCCATTATAAATCGCAGCAGAGCTCAGGCAGCCAGGGGACAAGCGCTGAGCTTCCACAAGGGCCCCTGCCGCCTGCCTGGCGCCCCTGGACCCCCGCCCGCCCCAGCCATGGGTCTTCCGCCTCTCTCGGGGCTGCTCTGCTTGACTGTCCTCTGCCATTTGGTTGCGCTGCTAGCCGGTGAGTGGGGTGGACTCAGGCATGAGCGGGGTAAGGGGAGCCCCGAGCCCCACTTCTCCCCCTCAAGCCTGACATCAGGGCCCCCAGAACCTTCCCCGGGTAAGGCTGAGATCCCTGGCAGCCCCTTCTTGACATATATGCCGGGTGGGGGAGGTAGGAGCTGGGTGTGGGGCCGGAGGGTGGGGGGGATGCGGCTGGACACCTCTCTGGTCGTGTGGTCTGCCCTCCAGCTGGAAAAATTTACTCTCACCAGAGACTGTCCCTGTCTGGCCCAGTGAGCAAGGTGTTGATCACTTGGCAGAGCAGGGAGGTGGTGTGGGCAGCAGACGATGCCAGATGTGGGGGTACCGGGAGAGTGCGGGTGGTGGGAAGCCTGCGGAGGCTCTTGGTGGGCACTCGGATGGAGCTCTGGCAGACCGTGAGCTCATTTCCCTGTCCGGGGTTAATATGTAACCCTCGGTCCTGACTCCTGTAGTCTCGGCTTGGCCCCAGGCCAGGCCACAGTTGGGACTTTCTCCTGCCCAATTTCAAGGCCTCCCTAGGAGAAGGGGCCCAGGACCACTGGAGGTCAAGGTCATTGCAGCTCATGAATTGGGCTCATCCCTGTGCCTCTGGTCTAACCCCCAATCCCTCTGCCCATGTCCGTCCCCTCCTCACCTCCCCCGCTCAGGGTACTGTCTTTCTCTTCCAAAGCACAGTTCAGAAAATGTTTTCACCTCCAGTCACTTGCTTTCTGGAGCCTGGGACCTGGGAGGGCATGATGTATCGATCCCACCCAACATGAGTGAGATGGAGGCCCAAAGAGGTTGAGAAACTGACCTGAGGATGCACAGCCAGCAAGTAAGACAGGAGGGGGTAAGAGTGGGTGCAGGAGGGAGCGTGGATGCACGCTCCCACTTCTGTGGATCTCACTGCCTTCAAGAGCTGTTTGAGTCAGCCCTATCCTCTGGGAATACCCAGGCCATCTGGCAGGTTGAGGCTCAGAGAGGGCGGGAGGCTGCCTTCAGGCACACAACCAGTCTGGGAAAATGGGCACCAGTCTCTGGCTTCCAGGACATCTCCATGGAGCGCGCTGTCCCCCGAGTCCCTCTGTTTGGGGAAAAGCCACCGGTGGGGCAGACAGCAGGCGAGTGGAGATGGTGCAGGCCAAGTGCTACTGGCCTTCCTGCTTCCTGGGCTTGAACCCCTGAGCCCTGAGGTGTTCGGGGACAGCGAGGATTGGAAGATGAGGAGTCGGGTGGAGGTTGCTTGGCCATAGCTGTGACCCTGAATATGGTATTGCCTTCTTTGGTCCCAGCTGCTGCACCTTTAAATATAACTATTGCCTATATGTGCGTGGTGAGGCTGAGGACACTTGGCAAGTGGGAGAAGGAGGAGGATCGCTTCTACTAAGCTGGGTTGTGGGGGGGTGTCTTCTCTGCTAGGACGGAGGAGGGATCCTGGGTAGGGGGCACTCTGGAAGCTCTATCCAGGAGCCTGAGGCTTCAAAACCGTCAGGGGTCCACCCTAATCTTGGCCACTGGTTTTGCTGGGAGATATTCCCATTATTCTGACCTTTCTGAGGCTCCATCTCTCCTGCTGTACAACTGGACATTTGGCCAGGTTCATCTTGGAAGTTCTTAGTCACACTGACATGTGTGGCTCAGAGAGACCCCCTGGGAGCCCCTGCAGAACTTAGGGATTGGGCCACAAGCCGGAGAGGCCGGGAGTGAGGGGGAGCTGGGGACTTTGTGGCTACCGTCCTGGCTGGTGCAGGGTGGCTGCGTCAGTTCCCAAATGTGGGTTTGCAGGGCTGTGTCAGGCAGGAGGCTCCTCTGCTTTATATAACAAACCTGCAGATACAAGTCAGAACAGAGAATTTTCCTCCCGGAGCACTGACGCATTCACTCCCACTCAAGCTCTGACAAGAAAGAGGGGGGAAAAAAATGAATTAAGCTGCTGTCGTCTGTCCCCCTGATTAGCAGTAGGGGTGGGTGGGAAAGGCAGAGGAGGCTAAATCTAGAGTGTCAGATCCAGGCCTGGGTCGGATCTAAATTAAAAATTCCTCTATATCCCGTTGGTTGGGATTTTACACATACAAAGTGGCTTCCTTGTGCATTTTGTTGATTCATTTGGTCGATAAGCACCTACTATGTGCCAAGTACAATTCTAGATACTGGGGCCACATCAGTGAATAAAACTGCCAGTGATCCCAGCCCTTTGGGTTGCTGAATATCAACTGGAAAAGACAGATAATACTCAAAATGAATTAATAAAGGATTTGATCTGTTAGAAGGAAAAAAAAAATGCTGTGATTTAAAAAAAAATGGGGATCAAAGGATGGTGTGGAAGCTGTTGAGATTTTATGTAGGGTGTCAGGGGAGAAGGGGGCCTTGAGGGAGGCAGGGGAGAGAATCATGTGGGTATCTCTAGGGCAGTGGTCCTCGGTGCCGGAATTGCCCCCAAGGAGACATTTGGCAATTTCTGGCTGCATTTTTGGTTGTTACGTTTTGGTTGGGAGGTACTCAGGCATCTAGTGCATCGAGGCCAAGGGGTGATGCCAAACATCCTACGGTACACAGAACAGCCTGCACAACAAAGAATCATGTGGTCCAAAATGTCAGTGGTGTCTGCTGTTGAGAAAACCCTGCTCTGAGGGTCCAGATATTTTAAGAGCTTTATTCTCATAACCATCCCATGAAGCAGTTATTATCATGTCCATTTTACAGGGAAGGGAAGGGAGGCTCAGAGAACCTGAGTGACTCATCTAAGACACACAGCTGAGCAGTGGCTCAGGCTCTCTCTCTATCACCCAAAAACCCAGAGACCCAAAACGTTCCCATCTTTTCCTGCCTATGACCTTCCGAACAGTCCTTGAGCTCCAGCCTAACGTCTCTTCCTCCAAGAAACCTCCTCTGATCACTTGGAGTTGGAGGTGGTCTCTCCTTCATGTAAACCTCAGCTTCCCTGAGGTCTGTTCTGTAACATGGTGTTTTTGCTTGGAGTTTAAGGCAGCCTAGAATAGCGAACTGTCTTAGGGGCTGGGAGGAAAACCAGATCTGCTATTAAGCAGCTGTGTGGCCTTGGGCAAGTCATTAAACCTCTCTGATTCTCAGCTTCCACATCTTTAAAATGAAGATAAAAGTAATCTTTTTGCAGGAATTAATGAGAGCAGATGTGTATGGGCTGAGCGTAGGGTCCAATACACCATAGGTGATCTACTAAGAAAAGTTCTGATACTCTGGGGTTCTGTCTTAACCGTCCATCAGGTTGAGAGACTTCTGAGGCTGAGATGGGCCTTCTTCATCCCTCTACTCCTCACAGGGCCTGGCCAGAGGCAGGTCAGCATTTGTTGGTTGACCGAGTGAACATGGTGATCTGATAGCATTTATTGGGAATGAGGTACTCTCTCCAAGCTCAGCATTAGCACCTCTGGGAAAAGGAGTTCAGAGTTAAGGACAAGAGGGCCTGGGTCTTTGTAGATACTCAAAAGTAACTCAAACAGATGTTGGCTGAATCAGGGAGCAGATGGATGGATGAAGGATGTGTGAGTGGGCTGGAGAGAGATGGAGGGATGGGTGGAGGAAGGGGGTGGAGGATGCCTAGGGGACAGACAGGTAGTAGGTAGGTGAGTGGGGCACAGGTAGATTGATGGAGTGGGGTGAGTAGGGATAGGTGGGAGGTAGACAGGTTGGTGGCAGGGAATTGGTAGCAGATTGACAAGAGGGGGCAGATAAATGGATGGATGGATAGACGGGTAGGGAGGTGGGTGTAGGGATAAGTAGACTGAGACATTATTTCATTCAATGAATATTTATATCCACCTTATGCTTGATGATAAGAAACACTGTGACACCGAGACATACAAAGTCCCTGTCCTCCTGCATTCACACAACGGTTAATAGATGACTGGCTGGTCGAGATGTTATCCCTAATTACAGAAAAGAAAACTTCAGTTCCTAGAAGGAAAGCCCGCTCAACTAGTTACACCACCTTCCCAGGCAGAAGCAAGAACAGAACCTGGCCAAGGCCATCAGGCACCATGGCAGAGGGCGGGGACTGTGAGACAGGCTGCTTTTGTGGCTCATTAAGCCCTAGAGGTGGGCTTAGTGGATGTAGAGTCGGAAGAGGGCACTGAGCTTCCCTAGTTTGTCCCTTCTGCCCACTGGGCAGCCTCCCCCTGGTTCCAGGTCATCAGGGGCACCATTTTTCTGGAATTCCCCCGGAAGTCACCTGCCACTCCAGTCCAGAGGACTGACTCTTGACTCTGCTCAACAGGACCTGGGGAGGCTGCTGCTGAGTCATTCTGAGGTCCCACTGTGGGAAAAGTAGGGTGACAAGGCAGCAGGGCAACTTTCACATCCTGGTTCCTCAGAGAAGAAGGGCAGTTGGTGACTCAGGGGCCAGCTTCGGGGAGCCCCCCTGCCCACCTCTGGGGCTACTAGTGATGCCCCCTGATGGCCTGACCCTGACCTTGCAAGCCCTGACTCCCCACCCCACCCCCATCCCTCCCACAAGGCAGGGTGGGCTGAGGCAGGGGGTGTGATGAGAGAAGAGGCAGCATATTTTAGAAGGTGTGTGTGCATGCCTGTATTTGGGAAGGCAGAGCATATTTAGTTTGTGTGTCCACGTACATTAAGTATTTGTGCAAGAGCGATGTGTGTTTTGCTGGAACCCGGGGATCACGGGGCCTTCCCAAGCTCTGCAGAAATAAAATAAATTTGTTCTCTTGGCTCCACTGCCCTGGAAGTCCTGGCCTCTAGATTTTTGCAAAACCCTCTGAGGTCTTGCTTCGGCTACAAATGACCTTAATTCCTATCGGAAACTCAAGCTCTTCATTTTTTGGCCTGCCCCTCTCGAACTTATACCAAGCAAAGCAAAGTTTGCTGGAGATTTTAGGGGAAGGTAGAGGTGCAGTGCAAACCACTCTGAATGTTTATATAAAATATCTGGGTTCTCAACTGTCTGTTGAGTCACCGTCATTCTGTCCTGGGGTTTCTGTCTGGCTCCACGTGGGACCCAGACATCTTAAGGCCCCACCTATCCCACTCTGCCCCCGCCCCATGCACAACCCCATTTCTACCCCTCCTCCCTATGCCTGCTCCCCCAGCTTGTCCTGGGAATCCAAATGGCCCATTAGGTTCCTCTCGGGAGCTGCTTCCCAACTCATCCTGGCTCTTTTTATATACAATTTATTTTTTTCTGTATTCACATTTTGGCTGTGCTAGGTCTTCTTTGCTGCACTCTGCTTTCTCTAGTTGAGGCGATCAGGGACTAGTCTCTCGTTGCAGTGCTCAGCCTTCTCATTTCAGTGGCTTCTCTTGCTGCTGAGCACAGGCCTTAGGGCACTCAGACTCAGTAGCTGCGGCTCCCCGGCTGTACAGAATAGGCTCAATAGTTTTACTGCATGGGCTTAGTTGGTCCACAGTATCTGGGATCTTCCCAGATCAGGGATTGAACCCCGTGACTCCTGCATTGGCAGGTGGATTCTTTACCACTGAGCCACCAGGGAAACCCTCATCCTGGCTCTTAATGGCAGAACAAAGGATTGTCTACTTAGCACACTGCTTAGAAGGTGGTTGTCATCATATATTTAAACTTTTTGTTATCTGCTATGTCAGCCTGGTGGCATGTATGCCTTTATGTGTTTTTTTGAGCTGGGCATAAATGTGTGTCATTACGGTAGTTGCCGGTGGCCGAGATGTATACAGGGAATACACATGGGATGTGAATGGACAGAGATCTAGGGCTGTCTGAGAGGCTGTGGGAGTGGATCAGGCTGAGATGGAGGGATGGGATCCCCATGCGAGGGGGTGAGAGCTGAGCAGATGACTTACTAGAGTAAGAGCACTGTTGGGGGAATGGCAGCGTCATGGGTCCAGAAGGGCCAGGAGCTAGGCCTGGCAGGAGAGCCTGTTCCGTCACTTGCTGGCTGTGTAACCTCAGATAGATCCTTGTCAGTTTCACACTCCTCGCCCCTGGTGAACCCACTCCAGCAACTGAATTTTAAAACTAAACAAGATGTGCCAGGCCGTAAGAGCTTTATAAGAATTCATTTTCCTCCATTCTTACAACAGCCCTGTGAGGTAGATTCTATTTGCTGTCCCTATTTTACTGGTGGGGAAACTGAGGCCTAGAGAGGTTTGACCTGGGACAGGGGGCTGAGGTCAAGGGTGTGGGGCATTGGTTCTGGCTAGGAGGGTGCAGCTGGGACAAGCTGGCATGGGGCTGGGAAGCCAGAGGTCCACGGACAGTCCGGCTGACTGGGGGCCTTTGTGGGGTCAGGACAGCAACACGGTGTGAACAAGTGTAACTTCTCCTGCAACAAAATGATCAAGAAGATTCCCGTGTCTCGTCTAGTCGGCTACCAACGAAATCGGGAGTCCTGCAATGATGGAGCTGTCATGTAGGTACTGCCCTCTCGGCTTCTGCATTCCTTTCAGGCCCCTGGTCTCTGCTAATCCATGTCCACATCCTGTCACCCCAAACTGGGCTCCTGGCCAAGGGCTTTCAGCAAGTGTTCCTCTTGCTCCTGACCTGCTGGCCTCCTCGCTGACCTTAATATCTGTGCCCTGGGCAAACGTGAGTGGTGGCTTTCCCGGATGGCCTGGACAAGCCACCCGGGGTGGCAATTCCCACTGGGCCAAAGGGTGTTGTATGCAGCACTGGAACCTGCTGGGTTTCATGGGAGAGGAAAAGCATGGTGTTCTCAAAGTGCAGGCTCTAGACACCAGCAGATCTGGTGTGAATTCTGCCTTCACCTTCTACAGCCTGGGTGGCCCTGGTGATCTTATCTACTGTTTGGGCTCTGGCTTCTTTATCTGTTCAAATGGGTAGTTTTGAGGAAAATGAAAGGAGATGGTGAAACTAAAGCTCTTGGCAGTGTTCCTGGAAGCTGCTGACAATAGGAGAGGCCAAGGTTATTATTTCCATTGAACAGATAAGGAAACAGAATTCCTCCCAGACTTGAGACTTCCGGGAGGGGTCAAGCCAAGCCGGTTTCCCCTCTGGGTGTTGGGACTCCTGGCCATCTTGGCCACTTGCTCCTTTGGGGTCCCTCTTGGGTACTGCCCAGTCGCCCAGCCCTGAGGCCTTTCCTCAGGACTGACCTTTGGGTCCTAAATCAGTCTCAGCCAGACCCTGACTCCTGGCAACAGGAAACAGCCTGTTCGAAGCAGGGGTCCAGCTAAAGAAAATTGTATTTCCTCTCACTGATTACTAAGAGGGCAAGTGCACTACAGCCTGACCTCTCTGCTCACCTGTCAAACCTCACTTCCCCCAAGCTACCCTATATGTTTGCTTCTCTTTTGTAGGTGAAGGGGAAGTGGGATGCTCCAGAAAGGGGATGATGGTGCTGGGACAGCACTGCACCTGTGGGTCCTTCAGGGCCATGCTTGCTTTCTGGACCTCTCTGGCTTCCTAGCATATTGAAGACAGGCACATTTCTATTACCCCTCTAAGCCTCAGTTTTCTAATCTGTAAAATGGGGATGTATGTAGTAGCCATCTTGCAGAAAGGGTATGAGGTTTAACCAGGCAAAATTTCCAGCACAGGCCAGGGTGTGGAGCAGGGATCCCAGCCAGCTCCAAGCTGTGGTCTTGGTACCAAGCCACACACAGGCTTCAAAGGAAGCTTATGATTTGGATGGAACTCAGGATCCTGGAGAAGGGAATGGCTGCCCACTCCAGTATTCTTGCCTAGGGAATTCCATGGAGAGAGGATCCTGGCAGGCTACAGTGCACGGGGTCACAAAGAGTCAGACATAACTAAGCAACTAACACTTTCATTCACATTTCACTTTCGGGGTCCCATCAGGGACACCATATAGAGGGTTGTAGCACCCTAGGGGCCCTTGCAGCCTGAGGATACACTCTAAGAGAGGAGAGAGGTCCAGAGGGCAGACTTCAACTGAGGGAGAGGAGGAAGAGGAGGTTATGACATTAAGTCTTTTCCACCGCCAAGCTTGCCAGTCACACGCCTGGTGGCAGAGAACACCTGGGATATCTCCCAATCAGAAAACTCGCAGCGAAGAGCCCCCATCCTCATGTTCATGACATTATGACTTACATTTTTATTATCTTTCTGGTCAGGAAGATCCCCTGGAGTAGGAAATGGCAACCCACTCCAGTATTCTTGCCTGGAAAATTCCACGGACAGAGGAGCCTGGTGCATATCAGTCCATGGGGTCGCACCGAGTTGGACACGACTGAGCGACTAAGTTCTCATGCATGCACTGTGAACCAGGTGCTTTACATCCTTTTCATTTTTTACAATAACACAGAAGCAGGTGACCAACTTGTCCTGGTTTGCTGGAATTTTCACAAAAAGACCCTTTCAGTTCCAGTTTTTCTGGGATGATTGGTCACCCTGCAAAAGACAGGACTCTCTTTCCAGTTCTCAAGTGAGAACACAGAAGTTCTGTAAGCTGAGCTGCCCTGGTTAAGAAGCTCATAGCTCACAGTTAGTAAGTGGTGGCGACTTGACTTCCAGCCATGTCGGCTCACCTGCAGAGATTTTGTGTGATGCTCTTACTCCACATGGCATCTAAGCATCACTGGCCCCCTTGTCTTCCTTCCTTGCAGCCTGAAGACTGTGAAGGATAAATTACTCTGTGCTGACCCAAAGGAGAAATGGGTCCAGGAAGTCATGAAGATCCTAGACGACAAGGCTGCTATGATTCAAAAGAGCGGCACATTCGAGAGGCAAATCGGTGAGGGTGAGCCCAGGACCACTCTGGGCGCCAGGGAGATGTACTGGTCTGCTGCCTCAGAGGCGAACTTCACAGGTGAAAGCAGTGGTCTGGGGGCAGAGAGTGCCTTGGGGACTTCGCCAGGAGTGGCTGGTTCCATGGGGACCAGGTCCTCCTCCACTTCAAAAGCTCCAGATGGAGGGACTCAGAAAACTGAGATTTTCAACAAGGCTGCCGTCACCACCGCCACGTCTTGGCAGAGTTCTGCTGCCGACCAAACTGGGGCAGGCCTCTGGACTGAGGGGAAAGCCTCTGAGGCCCCCTCCACCCTGGTCCCCTCCACCCAGACCCTCCTCACCCCAGTCCCCTCCACCAAGGCCATCCCCACCCCAGTCCCCTCCACCCAGGCCCCCTCCACCCAGGCCCCCTCCACCCAGACCCTCCCCACCCAGACCCTCCCTACCTGGGTCCCCTCCACCCAGGCCCTCCCCTCCCCGGTCCCCTCCACCCAGGCCCCGACTCTTTCCCACACTGTCTTAGAGGACAGCACTTGGCCTGGAAGCCTAACTGTGGGAATCAAGGTACAGGACTCATCAAAGAACTCTCTAGGGTTCAAAGAAATGAGTCCCTCTGCAGCTCACACGGATGCCTTCCTGAGGTCAGCCACTGTGTACGGTGTCTTCAAGGTCACTGTATCCTCTGAAGGGACCCCCAGCATGGATGCACTGGCCTCTGGCAGCTGGGCCCCCAAGACTGAGGAGCTCCCCAAGGCCAAGGAGCCCATTCTCACCACCGCAGGCCCCCAGAGTCTGGGCATCCTCATGACATCCATCCCTGACTCCCAGGTGGCCACACGAAGGCAGGCTGTAGGGCTGTTGGCCTTCCTCGGTTTCCTCTTCTGCCTGGGGGTGGCCATGTTTGCCTACCAGAGACTGCAGAGCTGCCCCCGCAAGACGATGGGGGATATGGTGGATGGGATCTGCTATGTCCCCCGGAGCTGTGGCAGTAACTCATACGTCCTGGTGCCAGTGTGAACTCCCCTGCTGCCTGTGTCCATCCAGTTGTTCAACTCAGCGGCCCGGGGTCCCCCATCCCCACACTCCCCCTCACCCAAGGGCCTGGCCCAAGCTGGGATGATTGGAGCAAGGAGGCAGGGTCATCTGGGTGGGTCTGCTCCCAGCTTCTGGAGGCCACCCTTGACCATTCGTGACCTACTATGGACAGAGCAGGTGGCCTCCCCAGCTCACTCCAATGTCCCAAGACAAAAAAACGCCCCTCTGCTGTTGGCTGATCAGAGGGTCCCTTAGATACCATGCCAGCCCCCGTGAACAATTATTTACTGATAGCCCAGCCCCCTTGACCCACTCCCCGTGTTACCGCAGTCATCCCCTCTTGAAAACGAGCCTCGGGTCAGGCCTCTCCTGCCCGCTCCCTCAGACCTCATTGCGTCTCTTGGTCCCGCTGCGGTCGCCAGCCACCCCGGCCACCTGCGGTGCTAGTTATCCATGTCTCCTGTCCAGACCCCACGCCCCAGGTGGGGACCTGTCTTTTCTTGCATGAGGCTAGTGTGGTGTTTCCTGGGACTGCTCCCAGTGGAGGTTCTGCCCTTGGGCAAGCATTTTGGGAATGAGAGATGAAGTAATCTGCTGGCTTTGAGTCCACCCTCACCACCCCCCACCCCCAACCTCCGCATCTGTGAAGGAACATTGACTATGAATGTGAAGGCTGGGAGTTTAGTCCCAGGACCTCACCAGTCCATCAAGACATTCATCCCTCTGGTGTCTCATCTGTGAAAGGGAACAGGGATGGTAGATATGTGGCAATAACCTCTATCCCTGTCAGCATCACTAGTTGATCCAGAGACCCCTTTCTGCAGAACCTGGGTGCAGTTTCTCAATCTTCAGCAGTAGAGATGTTCTCAACCATCAATGAGACAGGCAAGTCCATGAATGCTGTGACCAGAAGGTCCTACCCCCCCCCCCCAGCAACTTGTGACAGCCTACCAGGTCATAAGTGAAGGCTGAGGGAGGAGTGGAGGCCTGCTGGCTCCAAGAAAGGAGCCAGGGAGCAGCTGCAGGCAGTAGCCACACCCCTTCCTCTTCCACTCCTTCATGAGGGACCCAGGTCCAGCATTTTCTCTTTCTTTCCCACGGTCTGGGTTCCTCTTCCACCTCTCACTCCTTGAAAACACTGTCCTCTGCACTCTGAGTTCTTCCTGCCTCCCCCTCACCTCCACTGCAGGCAGGGCCAGGAATTTCCATGACGTTTTCCGTGAGATCAGAATCCACCATGCAAACCTGAGGTTCCCGTGTTTACTTCTGAAAGGGACTCTGTCCTGTGGGGAGGGATGGGCAGGGGAGGGGAAGTTGTGGGCATGATGTCAGAGGTTCCCTTTTAGGCACTGAAGACTCGGGCAGGCCTGGGTGGGGCTGAAGGCTCTCTGGACTGGCCAGCACCCCACCATCAGAGCCAGACCTTCAAGTCTCACCCCTCAGGGTGTCTGGTGGCAGCTCCCCACCTCCCTCTGACTGTCTCTGAAGGTGTTCTTTGCAGCCCACCAGAGGAGCCTCCCATGGGCTAGGCTCCTCCGTGTACAGGTGGCATGCTCCTTTGCAGACAGATGCTGAGAGAGTGTACACGCGGCTCTGGTCCACAGAGAGGGAAGCCAGCTTTCCCTGTCCGCCTGGTCCTCCTCCACGCCCGTGAGGGCCTGGCTCGGTTTGGGGGCACTCTAACCACTCAGAGAGGAGGACAGCAGATCTGAATGCACTTTTTTGGTTCTTCTTGATGGGGAGCCTTCAAGGGATGGGGCCCCTGTGATGGGTCCCCCACCTGTGATAAAGCGGCCGGGGACAGCAGGTCCTCCTTCCACAGACTTTGTGAGGTCCTCCGGAGAAGGACAGGGACAAAGACAATTTGGGGAGGGCTTTGGAAGGAGTTGGTTGATCCTTTTGCTTTTCCAGCCCTATCACCAATGTCTGTACCATTTTGTATTTTACTAATAAATTTGAAAAGTCTTGTGGGTCCAATATAGTTGTTTTTCCTGCGTCAGACTCAGCAACCAGGGCCTCTGGGAAGATGGAACAAAGGAGGAGCCAAGACTCTCTGGGGAAGTGGGACTTCTCCAGTGGACCAGTGGGTATGACTCTGTGCTTCCACTGCAGAGGACACCGGTTTGGTCCCTGGCCCCGGGGTCCCACATGCTGCAGGGCAGTGTGGCCAAAACAAACAAACAGTGCTCTCTGGGGAAGCACTGGAGACCCCTGGGGCAGAGGAGCAGCAGGAGAAGGGGTCCGTGAGGACGGCTGAGCCTCCAGCCTAGCTCTGCTCTGCCCAGGTATGTGACATTGGGCATGCATAAAATCAGGTGAGACTTCACTCTACACCTGAAACTAACACAACATTGTTAATAACTATACTCCACTATAAGAATTTTTTAAAATTTTAAAATATTTTTAAAAACCAGGTGAGAGATTTCCAGCAGCTTCCATCCGTGGCAGGAATTAGATTCCCTTACGAAGTCCCCCACCCTGCCCCCTCCCACTGCCCAGGCCTACTAAACCACCATCTTGAGTGCCTTGGTATCACCATTAGGGATCTAGTGACCCACGGGAGCAAACTGGGCCACATTTTCCTCTTTACAGCCTCAACTCACTGCTGGTCCAGATAAAGATCAAAGAGGGATTACTTCTCAAGGGACTTGGGTACTCAGAGGTGTGACTCAAGTATGAATCGCCAGTGCCCAAGGCGGCATCATCAGGTGCTCTGTACAGCTGTGTAGACTGGAAACTGTGCAACGTGCCAAAGGCCAAGTCCAGCTTATTATACAGTATTGCATCAATCCTGAATATTCATTGGAAGGACTGATGCTGAAGTTGAAGCTCCAATACTTTGGTCACCTGGTGTGAAGAACTGACTCATTTGAAAACACCCTGATGCTGGGAAAGATTGAAGGCAGGAGGAGAAGGACAACAAGATGGTTGGATGGCATCACTGACTAGTGGACATGAGTTTGGGCAAACTCCAGGAGATAGTGAAGGACAGGGAAGCCTGGCACACTGCAGTCTGTGGGGTCTCAAAGATTTGGACATGACTGAGTGAATGAACAAATAATTGCATGGATTCTTAGATACACATTTCTTTTTTCATGTTGTAATACCTTTGGAATCGAGATGTATCTTACAGTCAATGACTTGTCATAGTTTAATTGACAGGTCTTTTGTTCTCTACTAGTGGTTTATTAAATATCAGAATGTTTTGCATTAGAGGCATTTTAGATTTGATGTCTACATGATATTTTTTTTTAATTAGAGGCAACACCTAAGAATCAGGAAATTATGCACACCAGCCCACTTTTCTAGGTTCTCTTAAGTGATTCAGAAGGTCTAACCCCCACTGTGTGGTGTCATCCCCAAGATGATGGTAGGTAGGGCCCGAGCCGTGGTTGCCCCTTGAGATGGAGCAGACCAGGGTGACAATCCTGAGTTCTCTACCACCCTTTCTACTTTTTGGTGCTCCGGATTCCAGTGGCCATGTCAATTGCCATTTATCATCACCCTCCTCTTGTTTTTCTCATAGAGAGGATATTTTTCTCTGAGCTCAAGTCTTCATCAAAAGTGGGACCAGGAAAGACAGCATATGATGGGCCCTTAATTTTTCTTACATGCAGCTTCCCTCATTTCACCACCTGCCGAACCCCATAGACATTTAGGTTTGAAGTTCCTGCAAGAATCTGATATTTCTGCCTCGCCACTCAGCTTGTGGGATCTTACTTCCCAGTCCAGGGCTAGGACCCATGCCTCCTGCAGTGGGAGCCCCGAGTCCTAACTATTGGACTACTAGGGAAGTCCCTGCAAATTCTAGTAGTGCACTTAGCAGCACACAATAGCTTTCCTGTTCCACTCCAAGTCCAGTCCCTCCTGCTTTTGCCCATTCCCACCCACAGGAGGGAGCTGAAGGCAAAGTCATATCCCCTCAACAACTGAACACCACCCTTTCAGCAACATGCAACATCAGCAGTGGCTTTGAAATGAAAATATTTGTCCCTGATTTTTTATCACATTCTCAGATAAGGTTAAGCTTTCCATGTTCCAGAAGAGAATGGAGAACAAAAGAAATTTTTATTATCCTTCAGTCCAGATCCACTCCCTAGGGATTTTGGGTTTCATTTTTCTCTTTCAGTTGTGGAGCTCAACTTTAGCTGAAGTGATTCCCCACAATTAGCGCAGAGTTTGATGGAGACTTGAAAGTGGAAGTGAAAGTAACTCAGTCGGGTCTGACTATACAGTCCATGGAATTCTCAAGGTCAGAATACTGGAGTTGGTAGCCGTTCCCTTCTCCAGGGGATCTTCCCAACTCAGGGAATGAACCCAGGTCTCCTGCACTGCAGGCAGATTCTTTACCATTTGAGCCACCTGAGGCCTCTGAAAACTTTGATAGAATGATCAGGGTTCTGAGACATAATATACTATTACTAATAATATAATATTATTATTTATATTATTATCACTCTTGTTCAGTCGATAAGTCATGTCCAACTCTTTGTGACCCCATGGACTGCAGCATGCCAGGCTCCTCTGTCCTCCACTATCTCCTGGTGTTTGCTCAAATTCAGGTCCACTGACTCTGTGATGCTATCTAACCATCTCATCCTCTGTCACCCCCTTCTCCTCCTGCTCTCAATCTTTCCCAGCATCAGGGTCTTTCCAATGAGTTGGTTCTTCACATCAGGTGGCCAAAGTACTAGAGCTTCAGCATCAGTCCTTCCAATGAATATTATTATAATATTATATTATAATAATAGTAATATAATTATTATTAAAATAGCCATTGTTTATTTCATGTTTACCACATGCCAAGCAATATACTAAATTCTTTATGTACAAGGGCTTCCACTTGCAGATGATGAGAGTAAGGTTTTCAAAGTCCACGGGACTTGCCTAAGGTCAAACAGACTGTAAGCAGCAGAGCTGGAACCTGAAGCCTTTCTCTAGGACTTGAATCTTAACCACTGTTTCTGAAATTGTGAGCCACA